TATTATATATATATATATATGTATACTACTATACAAACCATGCATTTCTTTGTGCAGTGACTATACTGACAGGACTTGATTTGGTGGAACTCTGCAGCTTGGAGATGGTCCCTTTTTATGTGCAGAGGGTGCCCATGAGTTTTCCCCCCGATTTGGATATGACTTAGCATAATATGGATTTGGTATATCTATGGTATATTTATAGTATATTTATGATATATCTATGGTATATTTATGGTATATCTATGGTATATTTATGGTATATCTATGGTATATTTATGGTATATCTATGGTATATTTATGGTATATCTATGATATATGGATAGTCAGTCAACATACCATAACTGACTAACCCCAAACATATGCCCAAAATGCCAAGGGTTTCACCCCAGAAACGACCAACTTTTGGGGGGAGCCGGGGGGGGTCCGAGGCATGGCGGCTTCATTCATCCCCAAAGTTCCCACCTGGTTCCGTCCCTGCAACTCCGAGGGTCCAGTGGTGCCTGGGCCTGGAAATGCCCTGTGAATGGGCTTGATATATCCATTTGAAGCATTGCCAATATGTTGTGTATAAATATAGAATATATATATATATATATTTACATATGTATGTATGCGTATGTATACATATGTATATATATATATACATATTAGATTATATATTATATACACACGCGTATATTTACTGTATATGTATATATGTAGATAAATCAACATGTGTATCTATGGGATGGATACTCAAACCCCTTATCATCATACCAAGTTCAGACATAGATTATATGAGATTAATGCGGAACGCGGATCATATCTGGTAATCATGGGTTTTGAGGGATTCTTTTGGTTGGTCCACATGGCGGGTGTTGATACGATTCAGATAACAAGTATACCGTGGTGTAGATTCACCGTAGATTTCAAGGCGATCGTATGATGAGTTCGGTCGGCAAATCATTTGCGATGGCATGAATTCAGCGGTGGTGGCCAGTTAGTGGTTATCAGAAGATATCAGAAGTATGTTTTCTTACTAACTGATGGGTAATCTCCACCAATATTAGAAGTGGTTTTCTATAGCCAGCTACATATACTATCACCTGATGGTGGAGGTACCAATCCTGCTTTCTCGTTGAGCTACCCATGAAATGGGCATAGGGTTGGTGGCTATAAATAGCCATGGTTACCGTGCTATTTCACCATGGATCATAGTGAGCATTACAAGGTGTTCCAGCTTCTTTGGATCAGAGCTGGAGCTATACTTCCAACATCTTCAGCAAGAGATCGTCTCGGAAAGATCAGTTTGAAATGGGGAAAGCTTGAAACGGTCGACCGATGATCTATCCGGGGCTTGATGGTTCCGTGGTACGTTCCGTCTCCAGGGAAAGTGACTCTCCGAGTTCATGTGGGGACAAGTCCCATTATTGAAGGTATCTCCATGTTTTGTTGCTGACATCCCCAAGTCTTGTTGGCAATATATATATATAATCCCCTTGAAAGGCTGGTGATGGAGTCATACATACCATCTCACTCTAAATTGTAAACGTCTCTAATGTAATGCAATGCAATCTAACATAACGTAACGTAACGCAACGTAAGACAGTGCAATACAATGCAATGCAATGCAATGCAATGTAATGCAATGTGTACGTGTATATATAATATAATATAATATAATATAATATAATATAATATAATATAATATAATATAATATAATATAATAATATAATATAATAATATAATATAATATAATATAATATAATATAATATAATATAATATAATATAATATAATATAATATAATATAATATACATACATATATATACATATATATACATATATATATATATACATATATATATATTATATCACACATATATATATATATTATATCACACACACATATATATATATATATATACATACACAATATACACATATTTGTTTGATAATGTGGTGATCAAATTTTCGATCAGCGATGTCCCCATGAAGCTTGCAAGCCCGGAACTTTTCCCGTTCGAGGTCTTTGCCGGGGAAGCTCTGTTGGCAGAGGTGGAGCACATCTGTTGCTATGTTCTGCGCCTTGGAGCGTTTTCATGGGGGAAATCACCGAGCTCAATGGGGAACTTTCCTTAAGCCATTTTTGATGAGAGGGTAAGTTCCCCATCATGGATAACCATCATGTGTAGAGGGTAAGTTCCCTAACAACGTAGTTGGTTTCCAAGCCATATTTTGATGATAATGGAGGGAAAAAATCGTGGGATAACCAACTACGGAAGTTTCCTAATTTCTATTGTGTCTGAAAATGGTTTTCTCTGAACAGCCAGGGATACTTCAACAAGCTGAAAACCAGCCGGATCGTTGGCGAAAGCCCCAAAATTTGCTGGTGGATCTGATGGGTACCTTCCATTCTCTGCCTCCCAGGATCAGCATGTGGCTGGCCTGGATCGTGTGGCTGGAGGGCCCAGCGACCGACCGGGGAATCATGGATCCCATTGGTCAAGTGACCAAGATGCTGACCTCACAGAAGGGAGACTGAAAATATCCAGATTGCCGCAGTTTTTTTTGTCATCAACCGTTTTTTTTTGTTCTATTTTGATCATGGCGTTTATGCCATAAATCGGTTTCTACTGAGCCGATTAGTTGGACATGATCCCATGAACATCATGAACATCATGAACATCCCACAGGTTTACCTGGCAAGCGCGGCAAGCGCAACGTTTGGACCCCGTGGAGAACATGCAAAGCCGCGTGCCAGTGAAATTGCAGGCCATTGAGGGATTTTCATGGGATCAATTGAGAAAAACCATCTACAATCATCCATAAATCATCCATATACATCCTATCTGGATCAGCTGATGATCGATTGTAGATGATTATGATCCCAACGACATATGTTCACCGTTTTTTTTCCCGTGATATTTTTCATATTTCACCCGTGGATATTCTAAACGATCAGGGATTATTCATTCTGACCTTTTTTAAAGACCAGAGATTACGACATTTGACCAATCTCAAATGATCATGGTAGATCTTGTAAAAGGGGACATCCTCTGTCAGTGGGTAGTGAAGGTCCAAAAAAGACCCCCCTACGAAAAAAAGCGATGATAGTTCTGGCAACGTGGCAACGTGGAGACTATGTCGGTAGATCAACATTGAGGCTGCGTTCTTGGCAATGGCTCGAACGTGATTTTCCTGGCTGGACGATCATAGAATGTAACCCCCAAGCATTTTTCAGGATTTTGCCTTAAATTCTGCATGGGAAAACCCTGGGGATCCAGAATCATCATGTTAGGAGTTTCCGAACATTTATAGGATCATTATATACCAATTTAGGAAAACATCTACATTATACCAATCATTATCTAATGGTTAATAATAATCCATTACTAATGGTTACTAATGGTTAATAATAATCCATTTATATACCAATTAAAAAAGAACATCTACAGATCATTCTACGATTGGATGTACACCGTCATCATCCTGTTGGCGCAGGGTCGTCAGCATGCACCTCAAGGCTCCTGCGAGGCCAGTGTCGAGGCAACGGTGACGGCTGGGGCGACTGGTGACTGGTTGGTAGATGGTTAGTAGATGGTTAGCAGATGAGTAGATGATAGTAGATGGTTGGTGAGTTTCATGATGTTTTTCGATTTTCTTCAGGATTTGATGAATCTTGATGGTCTCCAGCTTTTTTGGTTGAGTTTTTTTACCGAATTCGTTTGAGGGGAAGCAACAAGGTTGGGGCTTGTGCCTTCAATGTACAGGGATGATCCCGCAAGGAATGCAAGGAAAGGCTTCATTTTATGCGCTGCAGAGTAGGATGAGGATGATGATGATGATGATGACGATGATGATGATGATTATTATTATTGTTATTATTGTTATTATTATTACTATTATTATTATTATATATTATTATTACTTATTGTTATTGTTATTAATTATCAGTACAACTATGAGCATCATGATCGCCACCCAATTTTTGTTGTGCTTCGGATCTCACGGTCACAGGGCTTGGCGCCGAGTCTTTCCATTGTGGCGCAAGAAGAGAAAAAACGCCTGGGGGCTCAGTCCTTTTTGGTCAGTTGAGCCATTGAAAATGCCACTGTGGGTTCTTACAGGAATCTGGGGTTTCATTGGACAGTTTCTGCAGTAAACAGTTTATCCTGACAGTTCTTTGATTGTGATTTATGGAGAAATTCTCCTTTATTATTGTGTGAATTTATCCCAGTCGGACTGACAGCTTGCCATCTATCCGTTTGGAGTTAGTTCGTCAGTTTGTCCATTAAAACTGGGGTAGTAATTTGTAGCCAAATTCGAGCGAAAAAATTGGATGGAACATGATGAACCATGGGCTTTCTGAATTAGGTGCCCAATTTTTAAATTTGGTCATCCAACTGTTTAGGTGGCAGCCCTTCAGGTGGCCAGACAGCCTTCATGAAGATCAATGCAGGTGTTTTTGGGGACAACCCCACATTTGAACACAACAGACGTTCTACACAAATACCCGGCATACCCATGATTTTCCTGTACCAGTAGGATAGGCTAGTAGGATTCAGTCTTCCCTGCCATGGGGACCAGGTGACCATATCATCGTCTCAGGTACCAAGAGACCAAGTCTACTTGTGGCCCTGGGGATTGTGGAGGACAAAGAGAAGCATGAAAAGCAAGGCCGGAGCTGTTGAAGTTGGATGGAAGCCGCGCCCGAAGATTTTTCGGATGGATTTCCCCTTGGCGGATATGCAAGAGAAGATCAACACTGCCATGCTGTTGTCCCCCCAAATTGATCCCCATCATCCGCAGAAAAAGGGGGAAAAAGTCCAGTCGCCCATGGGACACCCAATGTGACAAGGAAAAAGACATCTATAGCTTCACAAAGCCCGTGACCCCCGTGACCGCCAGGTTAGACATTGGACGGCAAGATATGCCATGGTGGAGGTTCAAGGCATGCACCAAGTGTTGCATTTGTCTACGGACCAAGATAGTACATTGCAGTTGTAGAATATCAAAAAACACGGGTCGGCGGTTGTTTTGAGGGGCCGCATCTGTCCTGAGGAAATCCTTATAAATTGTTCGCTTTCCTAAGAAGGCTAAGAACAGATAGACTCTCCTGGTACCGTTGAGAGTGAGACCAATGGAACTTGTTTTCAGCGTGAAAGAGATGTGAGCCGTGAACCTGCAGAGAAACTGGTGGAGAATTCGGTACATCTTTGAAGCAGACTTTTTTTAAAGCTTCTTTCGAGAACAGCCACAGCTGAGCCTCGAAAGCCGCGGAATTCGTCGCAAATGGTCGTCCCAGCTGTCCAGTTTGCAGCTCTGGCTGATCCATGGCCGGCCAGGCCCGTTACAGTGGAGTATCAAAAGCCATTAGGCAAACACTATTCGTTGAAGCCCCATTGGTCAACATATTCTGGTCAACATCAACTGTCACAAGACTCCGGGGGCCACATATTCTGGTCAAGTTTGAGTAGCAAACTTAGTAAACAATTCCAGTTATTAGAATATTTCCCCGCCCACACACACATATATATAATATAGTATAATATAATATAATATAATGTAATGTAATATAATCTAATCTAATCTAATATAATATAGTATAATATAGTATAATACAATATAATATAATATAATATATGTGGAATTATATTGGGTATACATATATGGATTGCAAGCCACGGATCCTAAGTGGGGCCCGCACATCCCAGTACCCAATTTGAAGTCTCAGAGTCTTTCATCTCAGCTGGAGAACATCATCAGCCAACAGCCGCCCTTTATGCCCGTGGGATGCCGACTGTCGAAACCTGTCGAAACCTGTGGCTTGAAGGCCCAGGGGCAGGGAAGGAGCTGGGGAGATTGGAGTTCTCAATACTTACCAATGGGTACGTACCATCCATGTTTTTATTTTCGGGATTGTGCCCTTCTTTTTGAATAACATTTGGTCCATGTCTGACAATTCGGGCTGGTCGATTACCCCGTGAATAGATGGTTTAAGATGGCAACCATGACCACTAAATTTGTTGAGAGCTGCAAAAAGGCCAAATCAGCACTCAGATGATATTCCAGCAGTGAGCAAAAACTGAATTTGGGTGGCGTATTTCTAAAGACAAGGGGCCCCGAGACCATCTAGAATATTTGGAATACTGGGGCCCCATCTTCAAATAACTCGTTTCTTTTCGAGTTTAGTACGCACATTTTTGCGGCCTCATATATTCCGATTATCCCGATGATCTTTGGTCACATCCGGATTCTTGCTAGTTCCACACTGTCTATGCTCCCAATGGTATCCAGATTGTTGGTGATACAATAAACAACAAGAGTTGTTGTATCCTCCAAAGCTCTGGCTCCACAAATTCTTGGGGATCCCCTGCCGTAAACCCGCCTTCTGCGGGGGGTCCCAAAAACAAGGGGGCCATGTTGTGAGCCACTTCAGCCAGCGCTGGCGATTTAACCATCAAAAAAATCATCAAACATGAGGTGTGTACTGAAAAAACCAACAAATCAAGCTAGTTAGATTGAGCACCGACAACATAAGTTGATAGGTGTATAAGTCTATAACCATACTGCTCCCACACATGGCCCTCCAAATTCGACTTGTGTGCATTGGAGCGTTGTGCTCAACATTGCGTCTGAACATCGGATGGCACCAAACTTTTTGTGCGGCCGAAGTGACCAGCATTGGTCGGAGTGGTGGATCATATATCTGCTTTCATAAACCTTCATAAAGGTAAAGAATCTATAGATCCATCCGACTAATCTGGTAGAGCCCGCCATCCTTGCACCGGAAAAGGTGCCAGTGGCGCATGGAGGTCCCATGGGGTTTTATAACAAGAAAATACAAGAAATATTGGGGATACAAAATTATATTGTGATATATTGGGTTTGCAATGGGGATATAATGGAGATATACTGGCGGACTGAAGCAGCTTCTCTTCCACACGGGTTGTGACATGTTGTGACAGGCTTGTGATATGACTAAAGATGCTAAGATCGCAGCCAAAGAGTAGAAGATCACTTTCCTATGAACTTGGGCACGTTACGGGGACGTTGGCAAAATATACCAAAAAACCCATCCAGAGTCAGCGATACCTATCATCCACTAGGATGATCAATAATTCCCCTCAAATGGATAAGAAATGGTTTCTATCCACCCAAATAGTTGAGTAATCTATGGAGGTCACAGATATCAATCTATTCACCAGCCGCATGGTTTCCAACAGAACTGAGGTCAATCATCGTTGCGGAGTGACTCGAAGGAAACCACTCAGCGCGAGGTCAGTTTCCCTGTCAGATGTGAACCTCTGGAGTTTTCTGGTAGACTTCGCCATGGAAAATGATGGACAATGACCCATGAAAGTAGATGATTTACCATGGATTTACCATGATTTACCATGGATTTACCATGGATTTACCTATTATTCCCATGGAAACCATGGAAACCATGGATTTACCATGGATTTACCATGGATTTACCATGGATTTACCATGGATTTACCATGGATTTACCTATTATTCCCATGGAAACCATGGATTTACCATGGATTTACCATGGATTTACCTATTATTTCAATGGAAAGTCGTAGTTTACTGGAGGCTTTTGATCATTTCCAGGTGGATTATACGGAGTTGCGGGGACCTTGGCAGGTGCGGCACCTGAGAGGGGGAAGACTTGGCAATGTTTACCGCTTTCTCTAGACATTATTCATCCCTTGTGTGGGAGCAACCCTGTATCATGTTATTTGCGCAATTACATATATCATATATCATATATATATATGTATATATATATATTTACATATACATATACATATACATATATATATATATACATATACATATACATATATAGATATGTTTATATGGATATATATATATACATGTAATATACATACAGTACATATGTCTATACATACATACATCCATCGACTGGGCTTCGGCCAAATACATTGACCTTCAAGTCAAGAAACACTATATTCTGATGAGATCAGCTGTCCCAAAGTCATGCCGTGTCAAACTTAGTGACTTAGGCCACTGATGAGTGTTCTCGCACTTTTGATGATCCTGGAAGTTAGTAAGTGATTAGGGGTTATTACATGTTATTACCCATCCAAGAAGTGATATTCTGTACAGAACCCATCCATATGAGGCCCCATGGAATATGAAAAAATCCGGCATCCAGGGGTTTTCCAACCTCACCCCGCGAGGTGCGGGTGCTGAAACGGAGCGCAGTCGTGCGCCACGCGGTGGCATTGGAAGTTCCGATGATTTGGGGATGGGTCAAAACCCTGGTACCTAGTGAACCCCAAGTCATAGCTGGGATTTATGGATGTTCATCCCCCTAAAAATGGTAATAGGTATTGATCCATAGCCATTTTCCAAGAGAATACTTTCTTCATGGCCAAACTTGGGATTTCGTGGATTCTGTGAGGTGCCCAGCCGTTGCCGTTGCACAACGACAGCAGAGTGGATGTGCCCTGGGTCTTGGGAAGAGCCTTGAAGGCCTTGCAGGGACCTACCTGGCGCTTGCTTCTCGATACTTGGCTGGGAATCTCCACGGAGTGGTTGAAGAGCCTAACCCAAACTGTCGGAAACCTTTCATCACCTCTGTGTAAGTGATAACCATCTATGTATGTATAGATATAGATATACATATAGATATACATACATATATATATGATTATATATGATTGTGTGTATATTCCATAACTGGATAAAGTATGATGAAATCGCCATGGGTGGTTCACCTTGGGACAGGCCAGGGTTTTTTGTCACGTGAATTTTGTGTCAGGAAACTTGCCACCACTGCGATCAGCATGAAATGAGCACCTGGCATCGACCTGAAGAATACGAAGGCTTGGCGCATGGTAACATTCATAGAATTGGATGATGGGAAAATTTACAGGAAAGCCCTATATTTGATGGTAAAAACCATGGTTTCCTGTAAATTTTCCCTTAAACCAACCCAATGAAACATGGAAAGCCTGATGCACCGACATCTCAACGATTTTTCGAGCCCAGGAGCCAAGGATATCGTCGATGAGACCGTCCGACACCAGAAGACCGTGGTTGGGGTCTCCCAGCGACCACGATCGACCATCGAACACCCCAAAGAGGGATCACTGGACGATCCAAAGATACACAATGGGCCAATGGGCTGTCAGTTCTGACCGGTTTGTTTGACACACATTATAGAGTTATAATGAGTTACCCTCTGGTAATTTAACATAGCTATTGAAAATGGCCATTTGTAGTGGATTTTCCCATGAAAAATTGTCATTTTCAATAGCTATGTTAAATTACCAGAGGGTATATACACATATATATATATATCATTATATATATATATATACAATATGTACGTATGATTGTATGTATGTATATATATATAATATAATATATATATAATATAATATATATATATATATGTATAACATATTAAAACTATAGAATGATATATAATTAGTTTCATCCTAGAGGTATTTGGGACCCCTTTTACAACTGCTAGAGGCCCATCTCCGTCGAATGGAATCCTCATGATTTTGAGTAAGCCACACCGGTGCCGGTTCTACTCGTATGTATAAATCCACCATCAATTTCAATGTGGGCCTATAATGGCCTATATATATATACACATACACATGTGTACACACACAATATATATATATATAATATTGTATATAAATATTTTGTATCTATCCTCATATCCGAGGCCGGAACAAAATGCATTCACCAAAGATACAAAAAATCACCTGTTTTTGAGGCATTCTGCCGGATGAGCCCTGGGCAGGAGCTGATGTCGGTGCACCTGCCAACGCCCTTGCTGAACCAACGCTTGGGAGCCTGTGAGGTGCACCGCTGATCTCAGGTGGTAGGTTTTTTTGGATCCATGGTGGGAAAATCACCATTTTTAATGTGGGAAAATCAACTATTTCTATGGGCCATTTTTAATAGCAAACTGTTAGTCATTACCAGAGGGTATTGTTTCAAGTCCAACAACAGTGTTTTTTTTCCTCAATTTTATTTGCATAGTTTTTTTTTCAGGACTGGGGCGTTCCGGTTTCTGAAGATGGCTTGCCCAGCCAAATTTCACGGCTGCAGCTGGTAGGTCTTTCTGCTTCCGCCCGCGAAGGTCGCCTGTGGGTTGCTGTTGGGTTATATATTCCATTGGTGTTGTTAATATTATATATATATATAGCTTAGTTAAAATTCCCATTCATTCCAATATGTGGTTAACAATAGAATATCCAGAAAATTGTATCCCCATCTACTCTGAAAACACCATTAGATACACAATAGCTAGTGACAATGAGCCAATCATTGCTTGGTGGTTTGAAATATCTTCCCTAGCTAAAGGAACTGCACGGAAGTGGCAAATGAACCATTGGAAGACCTGAATTCCCCCTTCCATCGTTGCTTCAAATACCGAATTTCAAATACCGAATTTCATCCCCATTGGCGCAACCACCAAGCAGATCATCGGTGACCCTCTCCCCATGGGGAAGCATCGGAATGGGGGAGGAATTGGATGAACATCCATTCACCCTCTGGTAGTCAAACACGGCAATGTAAAATTCCTAATTTAGTTCGATGATTTTCCTATTTAAACGCCAGTTTGTGATGGATTTTCCACCTAGCCATGTTTGATGACAGCAAAGGGTACCATCATTCACTGGCGCTATTTTCATGCGGGGCAGGCAGAAGGGCAGAGCCACCCTGCGGTCGCCTACCTCTTGCATTCCAAACTGATCTCCAGGAGCACTTTCGGTCCGGGGCAGTTTTGGATGACGCAAATCAACTCTATTGGAACAGAAATTGCTATGGAAATCACCGTGGAACTGCTAGAATTTCCGGATCTCATTGAACCAGGACTTGGCCAACGGTATGGGATACCCAGTTTGGAGCGGAGCTGGCCCACTTTCGGGGCTGGAAAATGTTCCAACACTGAGGGAGTCATGTGATGCCAGGCTTCTCTTTGGAAGTATCTGTTGGAGAAATGTATGGATGCAACATGATGCAACCACGAAAATAGATGAAACTAGTGAAAGTGTGGTGGATTTGTGCACGACAGCCATTGTGGCACTGAAGAGTGCTGTGTCAAGCTGCGCACTCCCAGTCCTTCGGAGGCTAAATGTTTTTTCACTTTTTTCCGCTTAACATGGCCATACAGAAATAATGATATCCCCCAGTTGCGGGCAAACCCACCTGTTCTTACTGCGGAAAAAAGATGTTTGAACGAGGAACTGCGTGGTCGATAGACGTGGTGGGCCAATCGTAGATTCATGGTTTATGTTGGGAGCTAAGGCTACCACGGAGGTGGGTCGCGTCAAATCCGGGTCCACCACAGCCAGTGAAAAGGGCCGCGACACCCACCTTTTCAAGGTCAATTGGATGCCCTTTTCAAGTCCCCAATGCTCCAGAGCCTCCGGCAAAGCGGTTGAAGGGCCACACAGAGACTTGCACGATTTGCATGGAGAAATCCATGGTGGTGTTGGCATGCTTTGGCGCCTTGCGGCCACGTGATGTGCCAGGATTGCAGTATACCGAGGTATACTGTGGATGTGTTCTCAGGTTTCAGTGATTGAGTCTGTATGGTTCGCTACTGGCAAAAAACCATCCTGTCTGCACCAGGTGCTCAACTCACAGGCTCGCCCTGCTAAGCGCAGAGCGTGCCACGAAACAGGCAGATTTAAGCATGATTTAAGCATGGAAAGCAACCCAAGGCATTCTGCCAGGCAAAAAGAAACATCTGAACATGGCTTGGTGGTTGTTGCAGACGGCTTGGCTTGGAGATGGCATTTGGAACAGGGCTCATTTCGGACATCCCAAAGTAGGAAGTATACCGTGGTGTTGACTCGTTCAGAGACAAGCACACGCCTACCAACTGCCCTTAAGGCTTAAGCATCGACTGAGTGCGATCGTCACCCAAGGGTTTACACTGCAATTGGTCCATGTCCGTGACAAAATGCATCCCAGCCGTGACAACGCCGAGGTCAAGAGCCTTCTATGGAAACTGAACCACTCGATGCCCAGTAACTTGCTTCAACTGGTGCTGAAAAAACCAATGGAGATGGGTCCAGGGAGGAGTTGGGTTGGTGCCGAACCTGACGAGGCATGGACGAAGCATGGAGATCGGCGCTGTGTCGAGACAAGGCAACGCGGTGTAAGACGAGCAGCAGCCAAAGCCCTGGTTCATGGTTGTCCTACCAGGTCTGAGGGAATCATTGAAACCCTTTAGAATCCAAGATGGGAATCCCTCTCAACCAGTAGAATCAATCTGCAACATCTTTCGAACATTTCTCAAAAGAGGGATGTTGACAGGCTCTCCCTTTTAACACTAAATCTAGGAGAAAAATGTAACTGCACCGCAAGGGCTTATGGGGATTCGACCAGCCCCGGTCAAGTGACCACCGCAATAATGAGGCCTTAGGGTTCGGGCGAATTTTGACTACGAACACACATGGGGGTCACCTGACCCCCCACCCAATCGCTGTGAGTCGAGGTGAAGCGAAGCTTTTCTCAATTCATGGTGGTTTCAAAGGCCAAGCAGCTTCTTGGCGGCACAATGGTGGTGGCAAGGTCACCGAGAAAGGGTAACTAACATACACAGGAGTTGTAGTGCCGAACTCAGTGTTTTTGGACATCCGACGTTCCTGACGTTTGCCATGGAACACATTTCATACTTAAATGAGAGTTTGTACTAGGAGAATCCTATTCCGATCCCATTTTTTCTCGGGTGAAGGGCAAGTTGGAACTGATTCAAATCCAGTTTGGACCCTCCTGCCATGTCGAGGAAGTTCAAGGCTGCTGGGCTCTTGTCACGTGTGGAGGCAGGGATTTCGAAGGCATTTTTGTTTGAATCCAAATAAATCCAAAAACATGTGGGGTTGACCTGGCCTAAATACAGGGATTTCATAAACACATGTGGGGATATCATGATTGTAATGGGGATATACAAGCAACTTAATGTGACATTAAAGGGATTGTCTGAAAAAGAGGGTGTATATCCGATATATATCCGCCAAAGGGCAAGGAAAATTGATAAAGCACTAGATCTTGGGGTAACCAATTTTCAGACAAAATCAGTTGCAAGACAATTGCTGTGATTGTGCTGTTTTAATCTGATGTCGTTGATGAACATGTTCAAAACTGTCAATCAACAGAGCTTGAATTTGAATATTGGTCTATAGCCTGTAGATATTTAAATGAACCTAAATTTCATCCAATGTTCAAAATTACATATGTATATGCACATTTAAAAACATGTTATGTATGTAATGTAATGCAATGTATGTGTGTATGCATATGCATCATATGCTGCCTTCGATTTTTCCTTATGTATAATATGTAATTATATGTATATATATATAAAATATGTATAGATATATAATATGTAGATATACAACATATATATATATATAATATGTATATGTTATAATTATAATATGTATATGCATATTTAAACATGTAATGTAATGTATGTAATGTAATCTAATCCATTTGTTCATCCCCCGCAGGCGGCCCTACAAAAGCGGCGGCGCTCCCTGAGTTTCTTGGAGGAGGTTCTGAACGCCTGCCGGGAGCAACAAATGGTCTGGGGAGCCCAGTTGAAACATATCGAAACGTGGGGATCCACTAGTCATTCGCTACTAACATGGGAAAACCATAGGAAAACCATGGGAAAATGGGAAAACCATAGGAAAACCATAGGAAAATGGAGGTTTACCCCCTGGTAAACTAACATAGCTATGAAAAAAACCACTTATAGATGATTTACACTGTTTTGCCCATTAAAAATGTGATTTTCAATGTTTATGTTAGTTTTCTGTTGAGTGGATTATAGTAATAGTGATGATGATACTCTGATTAGTGGATCATAGTCATAGTGATGATGACATATTGTAGTGACTACTGATTGGGGATAAGTATACAAGATATTGAATAGTATCGAATAGTATTGTTATTGTGATAATACATAGTACTGTATAATGATAATGGATAGTTGGTATTATTGGATAGTAATGGACAACCTAAAAAATGTGATTTTGGGGATGGCTTATGTTTGGCCCTTTCCACATTAGTGATGATAATGTATTATTGGATAGTACTGGGTATAACAATAGCGACTTATTTCATAAGGGATAGACTAATAAAGCTATGGGGTTACAATTCAATGATTTAACCCTCAATCTATGGCAAGTGTTGATGATTTTTGTTGGTTTACTATTGATATGACTGTGGGGTTAAAAAAGGGGGATGTAACTGACAAAGTCATGAGGATTTATAACCAACCATAGTGGGGATTTTCATAGGATCCCGTAAGAGCGTGTTAGTTATTAGTGTGTTAGTGTATGATCATCTATGAATGGGGGTATTAATGGGACAGCTTCCCAACATCAGATTGTTTGGGTTATTTTTACCAACAAACATCGTAGATTTCATGCGGACAAGCTCTACTGAGATCAACCACGACTTACCATTTTGGGTTTATTTGAACAGAGGGTACTGCCTTGTATCCACTGGTTAAGAATCATGTCATTTTGCTTATTAAACTTGCAATACTTGCAGTATGATGTATTTTCAGACGCACCAATTTTATGGGGTGTGCTGAATGATACGCTCTGGCATATGGTTAATGGGTATCAATAGGATACCAGGTCTGTCTGACAAATTGGAATGAACACCCATTCTGTGGCAATTAGGAATCACATGGTTTATGCTTACATGATGGGTTATCATGAACTCCCAAAAATGACCATCACAGTGTTGAACCATCCAAGCATGTCGAGACAGTCCAAGTTCGCCAGAAAGGGAGCAAGTCCATTATGGAAAAAAATGCAGATTTAAGCATCAGGGGATATAAAAAATGCGATGGTTAACCTAATTTGTGATGACTAACATAAACAAACATAAACATCAGAATTGCCAGCGAACCGCGGTGGTTGGACGGTTCAACAAAGGCATCATGGGAGAATAGCGAACTGTGTGGACCTTTTTCACCTAAACCATGGGCTTTTTTTAATGGTGACTACTGTGGAGTTGTAACATCTCCGGTTTGGAATGGCCGAAAAAACCTCACGAATCGAGGTAGAATGCATGTGATGTACTTGTGCATGTGACATAAACAGAACAATGTATGTGTATGGGCAGGATTTCTGCAGAGTTCTTTGTAGTGTTTTTATTGGTGCTACCATGGGGAAACAAGTATCAACATGTCAAGCGCACCGCCATGGAAAGGGTGTTCAAACCTGTAGCTTCGGGGGTGTGTACCCGGTGCAACGAAAACCTGTGGATTGGTATCCGAAGAAATGCTCACTCCAAAAACGCTGAGGATATGCAAGAACCCAGGGTGGCCAAGGCTGGGTCACCACAGGGCAACAGGGCAGGGCTGGATCCCTTGAGACTGACGGGTTGGGGCATTGTGGCACGAAAGATTCGGCAGTTCACGATTTGAGAGCAGACTTGATTAGTTGATTATTAGTTAAACAGTTTCAGTACTGACGTTCAACCTGTCATTGTTCAGTCGCACGTAGCTAGTCGAATGAAAGGCAGCAGTCACCTCTTTTGAAGTGCTCACGACATAAAGCGACAATCCGCAGTCGGCGGAGACAAGGGTTTTTTCGTGGGGATGTCAAAGGGCGGTCACAGCTCTGCTCGGCAATTGGCTTATTCTCTTGATTCACGTGGCTTTCTGCTATGATTTGCTTCTTTAGTTGTGGTCTTACCTTGGTCCTGTCGGAAATTCATTTCCCGGTGGTGCGGCTGAGGGTTGTAGCCCTCAGTCCAATGGTGAGGTTTCGCAAGGTGTGGACGCATCTAGGTGTGCATTAGGAGATTCTTTGAATTGGATACAGCACCAAAATTAGCAGAGACATGCTGAGACCAATCCTCAACAGGCTGGGCAAAAGCTTGGCAGCGCCAAGGACTATCAAGGACTCATACTAAACCTCAAGTTGGAAACAAAGGTTCGTATAGCTTCGCAATGCTTCGTATGTCAGGGCATCGCAAATTTACAAGAGGAAGACAGGTGTTGTGCTGCAAGCAATGCACGGCGAAGTTATGCAAAGCTAGCACGAAAAATCAAGTCGAAAACACTTCGTAGAAACCTGGGCCGGAAACAAGACTTACTCCATCTTACTCCAACAATCTCGCAGCACTCATTCACAACATGCAATGCTATCTCAATGCCAGAACTGTTTGAAGGGAACCTTTACAGGAAACCTACTGATTTGGGGGGTTTCCAACCATGGAAGCCTGTAGAGCCTGTAGATGTTCATCAATTTTCCCTTAAATCCAGCCATCTTTGAATACTCCAGGCCTTGGACCTCTACGAGAGGCTGAAGCGATTGCGCAAGGAGCCGCCTGGGTGAGGCATGGAGAGATACCCGATACATGGATAATGTAGTAAGTTCTATCGCATTTTCGACAGTTGCATATCCAAACATTTGCCACTCATATCGAACTTGCTGTTGGTGAGTTTTCCCTTCCAGCTTTGAACAGCAATTCACTCTACCACATATTCAATGTGATTTAATGGGATTTCGAGGGCTTTTAATATGGTTTACATAATCACTCAAAGAATAGACCACATTGAACCATATGAAACCACTTTTTCCTTTAAACTTAAAACGATATAAAAACCAACTGTTCCCATGAATCTCACAGGACTGACATGAAAACCCTCTAAGTCCATCAGGAGCTGGCCGTGGCCCGAGAGCAGAAACAGCTGCTGGAGCTTAGGGACGCCTTGACCTCTGCGGAAGAGTTGCAGCTTCTTAGCTCCGAACATGGATAACATGGGGCGATCCAACAGCTAAATCCATGGTGAAATGATGGTGAAATGATGGTTATCCAATAATGGTTTAATATGAACATTCAATGATGGTTTAATGCTGGTTTAATATGAACATTTAATGATGGTTTAATGCTGGTTTAATATGAACGTTTGATGATGGTTGTTCATCTATGGTAAATGAAGATGATAATCTTTGGATCTTTAGTGGTTGAAATGATCCAACAGCCACAATGGGTTATATGCACATTTTGTTTCTGGATGTTAATGGATGTTAAGGGATGTTAATGGATGTTAATGGGGTTTATGAACCATCTTATAGCTATAGTTATATCTATAGTTATATGATATAACTAGTATTCATGAGATTTTTTTTATAACTCATATCGAGCATAAACCTCCATAAACCATAGAATTGTTGAGACACTGATATCTTTTTTTGGGGGCCCATCCTGGGGGCCCATCCTGGGGGCCCATCCTGGGGGCCCATCCTGTAGTTTCTGTTGTAGTTTGAATATGATTTTTTACTACGGAAAGTGATGATGAACCATGATAAAGCATGATGAAGCATCAGAATTTGGAGTGCTACTTGTTGGTAAACTAACAGTTTGCGAAGTGGAAAATCATAGATGTTCATAGCAAAACCGACTATAAGTGGGCCATGTTCAATAGCTATATTAAATTACCAGATGGTAGTTTTCATGGGGGAAATTATTATTAGCCATCAGAATTCGAAATTTCTTTTGGCTGATGGTTTACTAAAGCCGTATAAGAAGTGGGTGTGATACGATGTGATACAACCAACTGATATAACAGTGGTTCTTACAACCAATATTGATGTAATTGAGGATGTCACGTACGAACAACCCAACTACGTCGCATTGATTGAACTCACCTGAAGAAATCTGGGGCATTTTTCTTCCCATCCCCTGGGGTTAAAATCAGATGCCAGTGATGCCATCCACGAAGTCACCAAATGAGTAGAGGATTCCTCAAACGCAACCTATGGGTTCCTTAGAAGCTTCAAGAATGATGGTCAAGCAACGGTATCAATGTGAATGCTAATGGATATAATCCCATCCACAAAACCACAATAACTCGGTTGTTTACGGCCCCCAATGATCCAATGTTTTTTTTTTGGACGGAAGCTTATGAGAACACCCCCGAATGGAGTGTGAATGACGATCGATGCATGTCAACGGATCATTACCGGGTAAATAGGGTGCCAACGAATATCTTGAAACAAGTGGATACAATGATACAAGTGGAGGATACCCTCTGGTAAACTAACATAGCTATTGAAAATTGCCATTTATAGTGGATTTTCCCATTAAAAATGGTGAATTTCCATATAGTTATGTTAATTTACCAGAGGGTACAACAAATGGAGTGTAGCCTTTGTTGAAAGCGATCCTTGCCATGGGGGGCCTTGCCATGTTGACGACTTTCCCGCTTGGGAGAATCATCGATCCCAGTGGTTGAATGTCATTATAAATCTAAGATGTCCCAATATGGAATATCCCTGAATATCCCAATATTGGGATTTATAATGGGATTATGATCAAAACCAAGATTATGAAATATTTATGCAATACATCGAAATCTATGGTTTTCTGCGGATAAAATTTGATCGAACGCCCCAAAATAATTTCTGTGCCTTTTTCGCGAATGTCGCGAATGACGGAGGTTTTGGGATTCGGAGGTGGTGGTCGCTGAGACGAGCTTCACAGCTTTGTTGAGTGAAGCAACTCGAAGCAATGGGGTTCTGTGAGCTGTTTCTCGATGTATCTGATGCTCAATGATTCTCAATCCAGATACTGTTTGTGCCGAGTGTATGCTATACAATGTTATATAATGTTATATATACACGTGTTGTACATAAATTATACATTGATACTGTTTCTAGCCTGTAGAGTGGTGCGGAAACTGTAGTACCACCATGGGGCTCAGGCACAAACAGCACTGCAGCGACGTGATGTACAACGTTTGCAAGCAACCCTAGAAGGAAAGCCTGGGATGTGGAGAGGTTTTTTTAATGTTGAAATAGCTGTTGGGGACTTCCAGACTGCTATGGTTTCCCAATGAATAGTCCAATCTTTTGTTCCAGACTGTCACAAGACAACGTAAATGGAGAAGGCACAGATGTGGCGTGTGTCATCTCTGTCCGCCATGGGGGCGACCAGCAAATTCATGGTAGCCCTAATGAAAGAAGCTGAAAATGCAGCCCCAACAAGATGAAACATCAAATTTACCATCTGGTTATTTGTCACATAGCAGACTGGAACATCCATTCTAAATGGAGCTTTAGTTCGTGAAAATCGAATCTGTTTCGATTAGGGCCATGGCTCCAGTTCGCTTCCAGTTCGCTATGTAACAGTCATAACCAGAGGGTAAAATCCATTAATATCCCATTATTCACCATTAAATCACCATTAAATCACCATTAAATCACCATTAAATCACCATTAAATCACCAGGACCTCATTGGTCTCAGGATGGCTGCCAAGAGATGGGACTTTGGAAGATTGGAGTGGAGGCCGCGTCTGTGCTGTCAACAATATCATAGTATATATGTATATATATATATATGGGTAAATAAGGGAAATCATCCCCAAATGGCCGAACTATTCAGGTTAGTGAAATATTATAATTTACCCATATATATATATATATATGTATGTATTACCCTCTGGCTATTTAACAGTTCGCCATGGTATAGATGGCCCATAGAAATAGAGGTTTACCGAACTTAATAGCATGGTGATTTTCCATGGCTATGTGACAAATCACCAGATGGTAGACAAAAAAAATACATAGTATGGTGCATGTAACCGACATTCACCATCACTAGGAGGATACAATGGGATGTAACATGGGAGATGACATGGGAAACAACCAGCAATATGAGCGATTTTTGCCACCGTCTCCACGCGACCCAGGATTGTCCGGTTGCAGGTAAATGTAGGACATTTCCATGATCATTGATGTAAATTGATGGAAATACCCGAAGTGTAAATGTATGAAAATGTAGATGTTGAATCACTCTACTTTGCGAAGTACGAAAATATATGACCTATGTCATCCTATGTCCAATCTCAAGCCATCAGCAGTTGATTTAAGTTCCTAATCGAGCAGCTTTGCTACGGTCTCAGGCGATGGTGAAACATATGACCTGTCGCTTTTGAAGGAAGCTGCTGGGAGGTGCGGAGCCGCGCATCGAATCACAGCAGATCATCATGGGATGAATATTTTTTTCCGGAACTGAAAAAAAGGCCATTTTTAGGAACCATCCAACTACCATACAATTGTATAATATATATATATATAATTATGTATATATATATATGTATAATCATATATATATATATACACTGTATATACAATGATATAATACATACATACATACATACATACATACATACATACATACATACATACATACATACATACATACATACATACATACATACATACATACATACATACATACATACATACATACATACATACATACATACATACATACATACATACATACATACATACATACATACATACATACATACATACATACATACATACATACATACATACATACATACATACATACATACATACATACATACATACATACATACATACATACATACATACATACATACATACATACATACATACATACATACATACATACATACATACATACATACATACATACATACATACATACATACATACATACATACATACATACATACATACATACATACATACATACATACATACATACATACATACATACATACATATATACATACATATATATACATACATACATACATACATACATATATATATATACATACATACATATACATACATACATATATACATACATACATATATATCATATATATATACATATATATATATATATCTATATATATAATCATATATATATATACATAATCATATATATATATATAATCATATATATATATATCATATATATATATATATAATCATATATATATATATAATCATATATATATATATCATATATATATAATCATATATATATAACATATATATATATATCTATATATATAATCATATATATATATACACATACATATCATATATATATATACATACAATCATATGTATATATATATATACAATCATATATATATAATCACATATATATATTTATATATAATAATGATAATGATGATGATAATAATGATAATAATGATGTATAACACTACTACTAATAATAAGAGTAATGATAATAATGTATAACTAATAATAATGATTATACTTATCATTATGTGTATATATATATATAACTATATACATATAATTATATACACTACACTATCATATCATGTCCAATTATTACGCACCCGCTTTGTTCCCCATATCCGTCGATTCTGTTTCCGAAAAATCCAGGCATGTGGAATGGCAGGGGCTGGTGAGTTCTGTCCGTTCGGATTCCTAGTGGAACTGCATCAAATGGAAGCTTCCATAAATGGGGGTACCCCAAAATGGAAGGTTTATTTGATGGAAATCCAATTAAACTGGATGATTTAGGGCTACCTTGATTCTAAGGAACCTCCAAATCTACCTTTGGTGAGTCCTGGCATGACACAACTTTCAGATCTGGAACATTTCGAGAACACATGCAGAGTTCCAAATAGTGGCAGCATTTCCATGCATTTCCAGCAATCATTATAATCATTTCGAGAAACACATGCAGAGTTCCAAATATTGGCAGCATTTCCATGCATTTCCAACAATCATTATAATCATTTAGTGGCAGCATTTCCATGCATTTCCAGCAATCATTATAATCATTTCGAGAAACACATGCAGAGTTCCAAATATTGGCAGCATTTCCATGCATTTCCAACAATCATTATAATCATTTAGCGGCTTTTGGGGTACTTAGTCCACTGTGTCAATCAATTTTCACCCGGCGCAGCGCTCGCCGAGGCAGCGCTTACAAACAGGTCATGAGTCGTGATGTGCCAGAGACGAGTGGGGTGCCCCATGGTCCAGATCCAGAGCAAGTGACCCCAAGTTCGGTGACGTTTGGGGAGGACGTTTCTGAAACCGTGTTGAATCTGGGTCAGAGCTGACCAAAAGTGGGAAAAATGGCGCGCTCTATCACCGGCTCTGAGATTTTTTAGCCAGAAGTCTGATAGCCGGATTCCCTGAAAGATCATGGGAATGTTTCGACGGACAACAAAACATTGCAATTGAACTTTGGTGCAACCGGTTAAAGGTGTCACATCCAGTATGTCAATCCGGAATTTCCATCGGGAAAACAGAGCAAAGGAATTTGAAGCTCTGTAGCTTCCAATCTGTTTGTTAGATCATTGATGAGGCTCATTGGAATCCAACTAACATCTGGTATTTCTACAGATCAATAAATCACCCATGTATACCGTCCAATTAGAACCTTCTTCAAGAAGTTTTCAACATCCACTCTGTCCATTGATGGGTCTTGTTGCTTCCGTTGTTTTATCCCGGACACTGCCGAACCCCATTTCTAGGTTACAATGCGCATTGCTCATGATGTCTTCTCTTGATAGTCTCCTAGCCATGCATTATAGTGTTAGGTTTAAAATTTACATGAAGATGAACAAGCTTACAGAAACCGTTACTGAATACAATTAGTGTAATTACATAAGATGGCTGACATTAAGGGTGGATGTATTTTAATGAGTGAGGATACAAATCTCAACCCTGATAGAACAAAACCTAATTGGCCCCATATATTGAACGTCTTTGTAAATGCGTGTGGGAAGTTCTCTAAGACCGACATGGAATTCCGATATATGGACAACAACCTTGTACAACTCTTATTAACAATGACAACAAAGAAAAATAACAAGAATAACGAGAAGAACAAGAAGAAGGATAAGAAGCAGAAGGAGAAGGAGAAGGAGAAGAAGGATAATAAGGCAAAGAAGGAGAAGGAGAAGGAGACAAAGAATGAGACGGAGAAAAAGAAGAAGAACAAGAAGAAGAAGAATAAGAAGAAGAAGAGGATGATGATGATGATGATGAAGAAGAAGAAGGATAAGAAGGATAAAAAGGATAAGAAGGAGAAGCAAAAGGAGGAGGAGGAGGAAAAGAAGAAGAAGAAGAAGAAAAAGAAAAAGAAGAAGAAGAAGAAGAAGACGAAGAAAAAGGATACAAAAGAAGAAGAAGAAGGATCAAGAAGGAGTAAAGGAGTAAAAGGATAAACAAGAAGGCGAAGGAGAAGAAGAAGACTAATTTCATAGAGTTGAAGGAACCTCTAAAGATCTGACCAAAAGTGAAGGACTTTGAGAGGCTAGGAAACTTTGCCAGCAGCACAGAGCCTGTACAAGGAAGGAATGGACATGGTCATAAGAGAACTGGAAGAGGAAGAAAGAGAAAATGAGTTAAAATGAGTTAAAATGAAAGCAATGTAATGAAACGAATCTTTTCACGATCCTTATGATATATAGTTGCCGAGGACAAGAGCAGAAGACAATCGATTCTGGGACTTATACTGTGAAGAATGCAGAGTAAGTTTGCAAGAGGAAAAACCACATAAAACCACCCATAAAACCCGAACAAGCCAACAAGTATCTGCCCCTCATCTCCAGGGTTTTTCCATTTGACCTTCCTGGTTTACCGCAAGGGTCGGGATGATCACTTCAGCTTGAGCCATGGCGCCGCAAGTGTCGCTGGAGCTGGAGGATATCCCATCCATCCACTGCTCAGGCATGTTGGGGCCTCGCTGCAACTACACTTCTGAAACTAAGGAAAAAAATCACCGCTCTGAATCATTATCAAATTATCAACATCTTTCCCCCTTCAGGTCTTTGTAGTTTTTTTTTGGGTTTGGTTCATGGTCTATTTGGGTTTGGTTTAGGCTTACTTTAGGGTGCATTTAGTGTTTCATTTTGATATTGTTTAATTAGCTTTGGTTCTTCCGAAGCAAAGTTTCGTCTTGGTTGTCGAAGCATGGTTTCCGAAGCATGGGTCAAGTGGATGGAGAAAGGCCACTGTCCAGTGCTCCAATTTTCCGGGTTTTCCCAGCTACTCAATGGTCCCCCCAGATGGCTTGTGGTCCTGAAACAGGGCGAGACATTTCAAAGGAGCTGGAGGCGTTGCTGCGGAGTTTCGAAGAAAAGAGTGTTCCTTGGACATTTGGGAATGCGCTTGCTTAAGATTGAAGCTTCAGATATCTGATATCTTCAGATATCTTCAGATATCTTCAGATGTTGGATATGTTTGGTATGTTTGACATGTCAGGCATTCTGAGTACAAATCATGTATATAGGGTGTTTCGGAGGCTCTTGGCAGCATCTGCGGCATGGGGTTTCAGAGCATTGGCTCAAGATTAGGACCCGGGCCTACTAACTTCCCATGGAGGGCCGACCATTTATCTTTGAACAGCGGGGTGGTCGCTGCAAACTGGTGGAAGGTGATGAGTTTACCATTGCCACAACCGCCAAAGCTGTTCCCAAGCGCTGGGAAGATGGGTGTGCCCTTCGCCCAGCACGTCTGGCAAAAGATTGGGAAGAATTGCAGATCTACATGCAGAAGAACAACTTCAAGCATGTGAATGAGGTCAAGCTGCGGTGGTTCGGACTCAGCTGGTCTTATCCCCTCCACAAGGCCACCAAAGATCATGATCTCCGGCACATGACCTTGCTTCTTAGATTCGGTGCCAACTTGTGGCAGAAAGATAGCCGAGGCAAGACAGCCTTGGACTACATTTGCTTGGAGGCACTGCAATGGAACATGATTCGTGAATACGAAAATGCGCAGTCAGAGCAGCGTCCGAGTGCACAGGCTGTTTGACGATGAGGCTGTTGTGGGGGCGGCTTGACATGTTAGAGATAGTCTTGTTGTGTCTTGTTGTCCCCTCCACAGGCATCCGCAGGTGTTTTGTTGTACATCAGAAAAACCATTGATTGGTCCATACCTTCTGCCAACTCCCACCTCACGCGCCATCAACTGTACAGCCTGTTCAACTCCATGTTTGCGCAGCCAGACAGAGAGAAAAGGGATCAATTCCTTGGGGGGTGCAGTTCCAGTCAATTACAAAGGCATATATATATATATAGGGGCCCAAATCCCAACTGATGGGGTTATCATGATAGTATACCCCCCCAAGTATTACCATAGTATACCCCCCAAGTATTTGGTCACAGCGTAACTTTTTTGGCAACGCGACCCTGCAGACTTCCGCAAGTGGAAACGAATCATAACGAATCCTAAGTGGCTGCGGCTCAAAATTTAAGGTCCAGATCAAGGGTTAAAACCCACAGGCGATCCATACTGTACCCCAGATCCATCCCGAAACACAGGCGATCCAGACCGATCCGTAGGTATGGATCACCGCAGATCGATTCATACTCATTTTTTGAGCTACAGCCAAGTGGTGTTTGCAGAGGTCCAAAGGTGCTGACAACCCAGGCAATTGCCGGGAAGCGATGCAGGAAACTGCTTGGCAGCTTTTGCCAGGCGAGCACGTCTATGTTCCATTTGGGCTTTTTGAATTCGTAGCTGCATGATGTTTTGGGTAGATCCACCTGGATTTGAGAGGAAGCAGAAAGCGTGCCCACGTCACATTTTGCTGGCACTTGTTATGCAAGTTTGGCACCTGCTTCCCCAGCAATTTTTAAGTGATGGGATCCACCGCTGTGCCGACACAGCTTCCACGGATAAGAGAGCGCACCTCTGTGTCTAACTTGGGAGCCCTGAAGACTTGGAAGTGGACAGTGAGGCTAATGGGGTATATACAGTATTTGCACTTCCATGACTATTTGAGTTGCCATTTGGGAAGTCATTCATATGCCCTATATAATAAATGTGTGTATACCGTTTGTCGATGTATGTACTTAATGTAATGTAAGGTGATGTAATTTAATGTACTGTGACTGTAATGTAATGTAACGTCACGTAGTGTAATGTCATGTAATGCAATGTAATGAAATGGAACGGAATGAAATGAAATGGAATGGACTACATGTATGTACGTATACGTGTGTGTATAGGTGTAAACATATAAACATAGATATCGATATGTACATACCGATATAAACATGCAGAGACTATGTATATAATTATTATATATATATATATACACTATGTAGACACAGCTTGTCTTGAGCCTACTGAAGCGACATGGAAATTCCAGCGAGATCGCAGAGTGGCCATCCCTTACCATCCAGCGCCGATGTTCGACGCGATTTGGCGCTTGGTCCATGGTGACCAAGCTATGGCCTTGGCACAGGGATATGATATAACTTGATATAACCATGAAATCATATGGATCTTGAATGGATTGGAAACACCCAAAGACCATCCAAAATCATCCAAAGCTGGATGTGAAACATGATATGAAAATCCAGGGACTTTGAACATGTGGTACGCCCAATTCCCAGGAAATGAAACATAGAACCATGGTGAAAGACATGAAAAGAGGGTATCAACGAGGATTAAAGCTGCTGAACTCACAAACTTGAAGTGGACTAGTGAAATATTAAGGCCTGTGGGACAGTGAACGGATCAACACTGATCATTTTCGGATTCATCTAATTCATTGAGGCAGCAATTACCAGAGTTTGATCCATGTCCAGTTGCTAGGAATCATCGACAAGACGTCCGAAATGATTGCAGGAAGGACGCCCTGTAGCCAGGAGCCGTGGCCATGCCATCCGAATTCGCTAAACACGCCGTGGCTGTGCCGAGTCGCAAAAGAAGTCCACGGCGGTTTTCTCCGGTGTCATCACATGAAGTCACATGGTCCGGAAATCCCCCCAAGTGGAGGTTTAGTTTGGGAAAATTATCGAAGATCATCGAAGTATGGGGATTTTCCACATCGTCAGAGAGTAAGCCAGCTTTCTGAATATAATGGCACCCTGGAGCAGACCATTGGATGACAGCGAGGTGTCAACTACACATCTATGATGAGCCGCCGTGGGTCACCATCTCTATTTTGCTGAAATCTCTTCCGGGTCGAAACTTCTTTTGGTGGCCCTCTACTAATGATGCCGAATTTGACCTCATGTTTACATAATCTCAAGATTTCCGTTGATAAAATCAACAGAGTTTCTCTCGTGTTTGCTGCCGCTGCTGCTGCTGCTGCTGCTCCTGCTCCTGCTGCTGCTGTTGCTGGTGGTCTTGTTGGTGTTTTTTTTTTTTGTTGTTGTTGCTGTTGTGTCGTCGTCGTCGTTGTCGTTGTCGTTGTCGTTGTGGTTGTCCTTGTTGTCGTTGTCGTCGTGGTCACTGTCGGTATCGCTGTCGCCGCTGCTGCTGCTGGTGGTGGTGGTGGTGTTGTTGTTGTTGGTTGTTGGTTGTTGGTTGTTGGTTGTTGGTTGTTGGTTGTTGGTTGTTGTTGTTGTTGTTGCTGCTGCTGCTGCTGGTGTTGTTGTTGTTGTTGTGGTTGTGGTTGTTGTTGGTTGTTGTTGGTTGTTGTTGGTTGTTGTTGGTTGTTGTTGGTTGTTGTTGGTTGTTGTTGGTTGTTGTTGGTTGTTGTTGGTTGTTGTTGGTTGTTGTTGGTTGTTGGTGGTTGTTGTGGTTGTTGTGGTTGTTGTTGTTGTTGTTGTTGGTTGTTGGTTGTTGGTTGTTGGTTGTTGGTTGTTGTTGTTGTTGTCGGTTGTTGTTGTTGTTGTCGGTTGTTGTCGTCGGTTGTTGTTGTTGTTGTTGTTGTTGTTGTTGTTGTTGTTGTTGTTGTTGTGGTTGTTGTTGTTGTGGTTGTTGTTGTTGTTGTTGTTGTTGTTGTTGTTGTTGTTGTGGCTGTTGTTGTTGTTGTTGTTGTGGTTGTTGTTTGTTGTTGGTTGTTGTTGGTTGTTGTTGGTTGTTGTTGGTTGTTGTTGGTTGTTGTTGGTTGTTGTTGGTTGTTGTTGTTGTTGTTGTTGTGGGTTGTTGTTGTTGTTGTTGTTGTTGTTGTTGTTGTTGTTGTTGTTGTTGTTGTTGTTGTTGTGGGTTGTTGTCGTTGTCGTTGTCGTTGTCGGTTGTCGGTTGTCGGTTGTCGTTGTTGTTGTTGTTGTTGTTGTTGTGGTTGTTGTTGTTGTTGTTGTGGTTGTGGTTGTTGGTTGTGGTTGTGGTTGTGGTTGTGGTTGTTGTTGTTGTTGTTGTTGTTGTGGTTGTGGTTGTTGTGTCGTTGTGGTTGTGGTTGTGGTTGTGGTTATGGTTGTGGTTGTGGTTGTTGTGGTTGTTGTTGTTGTTGTTGTTGTGGTTGTTGTTGTTGTTGTTGTTGTTGTTGTTGTTTCACATTTCTCTGTGTGATATCCATTAGTCACTCCTATGATTGGTCAACCATCTCAAGAATCAGGGATATTCCCCAATTTTTCTAGACATTTTCCATGATTTTCTCAATGTTTCCTGATTTGCTCCTATTTTTTCCAAGGTTTTCCCAAGTTTTCCCGAGTTCTCCCATCATTTCTTGGTGTTTTCCCCCCGCTTAGGACTGGAAGCGTCGCTTGGGCGCCCTCAAGCGTCTTCAGGGCCTGGTCTTGGGTAGCAGTGAGGTGTCGCAGCAGAAATTGTCCGTGGGATTTGGGCAGATGTTGGGGATATCATTTTGGGATGGGAACTTTGAAGCCAATCACTGGTTGGTGCTGACTGGAACCATGGAATTTTGACTGACTTTCCATTAATATTGGGAATGTCATAATCCCAACTGACTTTCACTCCATCATTTTTCAGAGGGGTAGGTCAACCACCAACCATAAAAACAGGGATTTCATCCATGAACATGGTGGACTCAAGCCATGAACATGGGGATTTTTACATGGGAGATGAATGGGATAGCAATGTTTTTGTTAAACCAACTGTATTGGATTTAAAACTTTTTAACAACGTTAGACCAACTGTTGGACTGACTATATTGGGATTTAAACAGATATTTCACCAACCAATCTTGGTGGTATAGTGGGGATATAATGGGGATATAATGGGGATCAGATGGAGGACCCCATAGATAGGGATACAACGTCAACCCTGGATTGAGAAAGACATGTTTTATCGATAAGTACCCCCCAAATAGTGAACAACTACTATAAAGATGGTCTCCCCAATTAAACGGGCCAGGGGGTTATCAATCCAGGGGTGACATTTATGCAAAGAACATATTTGAACATGACAAATCACTCAAATTTGTTGACAACATTCTTAGAGCGCGCTCTCCCTCTCCCTCTCTCTATATTTCTATATATATATGTAATATTTGGGTATGGTGTATTTTTCCCTAAGATATTATATATGGCAGTTCCTATCTTCCAGACATTGATTGAAATCATGGGATTCGACCTACACGCTAGATGTACCAGACCCATATGTTTCATTGGTGAGTTGATACAGGTAGGCCAAATATATAGTTGTATGTTATATAATATTATATATTTATCTGCATGCATAGTACGCACTGAAGAATGCATGGCTCCACAACAGGGCCACAACATCCAACGACTTTATGGCTAGGGTTCTACCCCTAAACTATGAACTCACGATCTTTTCCCAGGTTTGGTGGGAACATCCGCAGGAAACCCTTGCATAAACCGGGGTTTACCAACCACGGTTTCTGGCTTCGGTTTCCCTTAAATCAATCCACAAGCAAATATCTATATGATTTTTTGATAGCTGAACATAGCTGCATCGTGATGTTTGACGATTTTTGATGAGTTTTGATGGTAAGACCCCAGTTTTTCAACAAATAATTGCAGTTGGACCATCCGTCGCAGGTGCTGCGACCCCTCCTCCCAAGATGTCGAGAGGCTCTGCTGAATCAGGTGTGGCGGACCTGAAACGTGCGTGTTGTACGAAACAGAAAGGTGCAACCTGTTTTACAATATATATATACACACTATCTGTCTGTCTGTCTGTCTATCTATCTAATCCTACCTATCTATCTATCTACCTACCGACCTACCTATCTATCTATCTAATCTAATCTAATCTCATCTCATCTCATCTGATCTGATCTTATCTTATCTAATCTAATCTGATCTAATCTAATCTAATCTGATCTAATCTAATCTAATCTTATCTTTTCTTATCTAATCTTATCTAATCTTATCTATTCATTCTTATCTATCTATTCTTATCTATTCTTATCTATCTATTCTTATCTATCTATTCTTATCTATCTATTCTTATCTATTCTTATCTATCTATTCTTATCTATCTATTCTTATCTATCTATTCTTATCTATCTATTCTTATCTATCTATTCTTATCTATCTATTCTTATCTATCTATTCTTATCTATCTATTCTTATCTATATCTATCTATCCATCCATCCATCCATCTATCTATCTATCTATCTATCTATCTATCTATCTATCTATCTATCTATCTATCTATCTATCTATCTATCTATCTATCTATCTATCTATCTTATCTATCTTATCTATCTTATCTATCTTATCTATCTTATATATCTTATCTATCTTATCTATCTTATCTATTTTATCTTATCTATCTAATCTAATCTATCTAATCTATCTAATCTATCTAATCTATCTAATCTATCTAATCTATCTTATCTATCTAATCTATCTAATCTATCTAATCTACCTTATCTACCTAATCTACCTTATCTACCTAATCTATCTAATCTATCTTATCTATCTAATCTATCTAATCTATCTAACCTAGCTAATCTATCTAATCTATCTAATCTATCTAATCTATCTAATCTATCTAATCTATCTAATCTATCTAATCTATCTAATCTATCCAATCTATCTAATCTATCTAATTTAATCAAATCAAATCAAATCTAATCAAATCAAATAAAATCAAATCTAATCTAATCAAATCAAATAAAATCTAATCTAATCTAATCTAATCTATCTAATCTAATCTAATCGAATCTAATCTAATCTAATCTAACCTATCTAATCTATCTAATCTATCTAACCTATCTAATCTATCTAATCTATCTAATCTATCCAATCTATCTAATCTATCCAATCTATCTAATCTATGTAATCTATCTAATCTATCTAATCTATCTAATCTATCTAATCTATCTAATCTATCCAATCTATCTATCTATCTATCTTTCTATCTATCTATCTATCTACCCATCTATCTACCCATCTATCTATCTAATTAATCTATCTAATTAATCTATTTTTCCAATCTATCTATCAATCTATCTATCTATCTATCAATCAATCTATCTATCTATCTATCTATTTATCTATCTATCTATCTATCTACCTAGACTGATTGTTGTAGATAGTGTAAATGTATTGATATCTATATCTTTATATCAACCAGATACATAATTAAGCTGTGAACCACTATACATATGGTCCATACGGTGCATTTTGGTTCATGGGTGCATGTGGACAAGACATATGGCATGTGACTCCTGCCAGGTGCAAGACTTGCGATCTGCACTGGTCCGGGAGGCGATGGGGTGTAACTCATGGTAATGGATGTTAAATTTATTAACTGGGTAACTGGATAGCCTCCTGGATGATCACAATAAAAAATATCCCCTGACAGTGCAAAAAAGGAATGTACCATCCCCCTATGAACAGCTCAGGCGTGTGCCACGCTGCAACTCATGGCCTGCACCTTTCGTGGTGACTTTGAGTTCTTTGCCGTTCCGGCGCTACCAGTGGCTGGGTCGCCCTTTATGGCAGCCGTGGAGCCTAAGGCGGTGGTGTTTTTTTAAGGTGGCCACTTGATGCCCATCTTGGTGGATCATGGTGGATAGCCATTAGCCATGGATAGCCATGGTTGAAGCATCTTTTTCTGGCTGGGTTTTCCCATTGGTCAAATTTCTCTGTACGGTATGAAATTCTTTCTGATTCGATGGACGCTTTACCTGCCGAGGTCTTGTTAAAGAGCACTTCAGTGACGATCTTGATCATTGCAGAGAGTTGCCCCTCGGCACGACACCCTTCCAGCCATGGCCACCCGTGGGGTCGCAGTTTCCATCACTTTCCAAGGCAACCAATGTGCCACTGCTTTGGTGCGGGAGTGTCGCACCTCCCGACTGCTGCAGGCGTGAAAAGCAACCAATGGATGGGAACGCACTGGATGATTTTGGGATTCCAAAATTGGGGACCCGAAACGAAAATCACCAAATTTGTTGATGTTAGATATTTTAAGTAAGGAATGGCATGTTTTGGTCCCCAATTTAGAGAAACCATCATGTGTTGTTCTCAAGTTGGATGGTGTATTTCCTGTTGGTATCCAAGATGCACCCATGGTTATTCCAAGACTTGCAGGGTTCTTAAAGCATTACCAGCAGCTTTTAGCACGGAAGACCATGTCCCACTTCCTCCCTGTCAGCGAATTTTGGTGACCGATCCTGATTGAAACCCTCGCCTGGCCTGCTTAGATTCTTAGATCTCCCAATTTCGCCCCTAAATTCTCCACCATCTCGGTTCAAACCCCGTTCCTGTTCAATCCATCCCTTTTTTGGCACTGCCCCATGGCTACCATGGCCTCACCATGGCGGCAGGTTCTGCTGGATCACTGCCGCGTGAAGAATGGCACCCAGCGTTGTCGCGCCATGCAGCTTCTCCTGGTGTCCTTGCAGCAGTACAGCAGCTCCACGCTGGTTCCTTGGCATAGGGGATCAAACGGCTGTGGCATGCTATGGCATGCTATGGGGATTGGAAGCAGTGACTCAAGCGGCCAGAATGGGAGTATGTAGCATGTTGCCTCTTTGTAAAGAAACATATGCCAGTATAAGCAAACTCTAGTTACGGGTCAGCAGTTGTTACCCCAGTTATACCTGGTAGGAAGCACATCATTGTAGCAAGGGTAAAGAGAACGAAGCAGCGGTTGAAACGAACCATGATGGTTGTTTGGTGGGCCAGAGAAAGCTGTCATTCAGGTCCATTCAGCGCAGTTATAACCATGGATCGGGCACATTTTGGTCCCCTGCAAAGCATCGGGTTGCGTGTAAAATCCAGTGGTTTCAACATGTTTCAATTGGTTTCATGGTGTTTCATGTGGGTTTGTCTTGAAAATAGAGTGCCCCAAAATTCTGGTGCTTCTACCACCATTTCTGTACAGAGCCATGTGATTTTGTTCATCGCATTTTCTCGCCTTGTGATGCCCATCATTCATCATCATTCAGTTTCCGCAAGGTCAAGTTTGAACTCTGCTGACAGTTTTCCGGAAGAACTTTGTTGAGACAGCCACACATATATATATATATATATATGGGTATCTTGAAGCATAGATCGATCGCCACCCAACTCTGTGGCAGGAACGGCACTGCAGCTCAATCGAGAAGGCGACTCGCGACCCGGAATTGACGCCTCATCCCTTTCCACCGGGTAAAAAACACGAAAAACACGAGAAACAAATAAGCAATATAATGTGTTTATATATATTATATGATGTATATATATATATACATATATAATCTTGAAAGACAGTGTCAGTATTGAATTATTAGGCATCATTAGAATCATTAGTGTTATGGTTCTTACTCATTACCATTGTTGTTATTGGTAGTAGCATATAGCATTACCATCCCCTCAACCAACACAGATCCTGAGAATCACCAATGTTTAAAGGAAAACAGGATTCCAAGCCCTACTTGTCAGGGTCTATGTTGGTTGGAGGAAAGGTACGTTTTACTTAATTGGTGTGGTTCGTTGTTAGTAGCATTTTTTTACTAATTGTAAGTTTTCTTCTTACTATTGTTGGTTGTGGAATAGTTATGAATAGTTGGTATTATTGCTACTTATTATATCTTATTATGTTTAATTCTTGGTACTTACCATCATTTCAACCTTTCACCTGTGCCACTGCACCTGTAACCCGGCCTTCGGCAGGTCCTCAAGGAATCCTTGGAGGATTCACAGCCAGGGGTGCGCACGGCGGCACGTCACTGCTTCTGGGCCTTCCAAGAGAAGTTCCAGGAGAGGGGAAGCCGAGAATTGAATGGGCACATTTACAGTTGAAAGCCCCAAAACTGCTGATTCTCCAACCATAATCCCCTACAGATATTTAATGATATTTAGATATCTAAAAATGCTGCTACAAACACCAAAAATTGTGGTTTTCCAACCAGAAACCCTTAAACATCATGGAAAAACCGGTTTCCTGTTCAGTTTTCCCCAACAAAAGCAGCGATTGATGGAAGTTTCCAGAGGTTTGACCTGGGCATTTGGTCAAATGGGGTGGAGTAAAAAACGGGCAAACCCTTCAGTTTGCCCGCCCCTACGTCGACGACGTCCCCGAAGATCAAAAAACACCGTGTTTTGTTGGACAAAATGCACATGTCCGTGATCTTGGTTTTCATCTTGCAACGCACAGCTTAGGCTACCTGTGCGTTGAATGTTAGAACATCAACAACAACATCATCATCATCATCATCGTCATCGTCATCGTCATTGTCATCGTCATCGTCATCGTCATGATCATCATCATCATCTTCTTCATCTTCATCATCTTCATCAACAACAAAACTCCTTGAACATTCCCATGAATATAAAGTTCAACGGGGGTGCGGTTTTGATGATTCCTTAGAAACTCTGTTGAAACATGTTGAATATTCCCTTTGAATGTAAAGTTTACGAGGGCGGAAATTTTATGATTCCCTAGAAACTCTGTTGAACCATGCTGAATGTTCCCTTTGAATGTTAAATTTTAACACTCCCTTCAATATCTCCTTAACAGTTGTGTGGGCGAACTGGGGGGTTTGCGCGTAAAAAAAACATGATATGGTGATATGATATAATTGCATACTTGTTTACTGGAGATCAGTGATTTTGGGGAGATAACCAACAGGGTATCGACTATGATGGTGATGGAATGGTAATGGGATATGTAGGCAGTTTTTTGGCAACGAACATATGGGGATTTAGGAATTTAACCAAACATAGATAAGGGCGTTGACCATCTGATAAGTGGGGGTAGAAGTAGAATGAATACAACTCATGGATGTAATGGGAGATAAACAGCAGCATGTGGGGTGTCCAAAAGGTGGGTATGAGTAATTGGGAGAGACACAAATATCCATTGAAACTGGGGTGCGCTGTTTTGAGACAAACCCTGGAGTTTGTTGTTCTTGTTAGGGGAACTTGTGTCCAAAGACGTTTGGGATCCATTTGAAAAATCAGACGCGCTCAGCTGGTATGAAACGGCTAGTTGCTTGATATAGAGAGAGCAAATAAATAGATTTTGTTTTGCCCAGTTCACACCTGATGATGGTTGATGGCATGTGGTTCTACAGTACTATTTTTTTTCATGGACACTAATCAATCCAACTGAACCACCAACGTCATGTTTATTGATTCAAGGAAGGAAACACCTTCAGTGTTAAAAACACCATCATATCTAACTATAGAGTACATGTTTGTTTTGAAAACATCGTTTTTTGCTATGAGCAACTAGCAGTTTATTAACATCAGTTTGTACTAAACTAAACTAAGAAGTAGTTATCAATATCAAAACTAAGCAGTATTTCAACAAGATATCCTTGGGTTGCCCCATTAGGTTTGTTTGAACATAGGGTACCCCATTCCATCCACTGGTTTGTATTTTCCACCCTATTGATGGGAGGCAAGCTCACTATTTTCAGGCACACAGGCACACCCACATATCATATTGTTGGTTAGCTATCATATATATATATATATATCCGCTTATATCCTATGCTATATCCCCATGCTATATCCCCATTTATAGATGAATATACACTAATACACAAATACAATATCGGTTATCCCGTGAAACATCCCCAGTCGGATTGGTTAAAACCCCATTTTTGTCAGTCAAATCCCAGATGAGTTGTAACCAAATCGCAGATATTAACAATAACTCAAGTAGCTTAACTATTTGTTAAGCCCCTTGTAGTTGTAAAGATGACATGCCAACTATGAATTTACTGCCTTAGCTTGGTGCTGAATCATTGAGTTATCGCCCTTATCATCCCCCAAGAGGCACCAAGAAACTTTTAATTTTCCCTTAAACAAATCCCGTCCAAAAAAAAAAATCCTATTCCTATCCC